ACTCCCTATATCCTTTCCAGACCTTCTTTCAAACCCTCTTGGCGATCAAAAGGTCTTCCCCATCCTCCTATTTTTCCTGTGGAACAAATCTAATCTCAGATTCCATCGTGCACCTTTATTTTTCTTCTGCCCGCCCTTCTTCCTCCCCTTCTATCTTCTCTAAGATTGCTGAAGAATTCTTCATTTTGACAGAATATCTTGTTGTTCTCCACACAAAACCTTCGACATCACCAGTACTTCCTTCACTATCAGAACATCTCCCATCAATGGGCTATCTTGTTGATCGCCATCACATCTCCCATCCTTTGTCGTCTCTCTCCTCAGAGTCGATCTCTTCAACTCACAAAAATTAAAGTCCAAACCTGGTTTGACCCCTGTAGACCTCCTATTATTCTGATCAAATCTTTCTTCGTAACTGGGTCCACTCTTCAACCCAGGCCCCAAAGGCTTATTACTTCTGGGCTCATCACTTAAAAACTGTCCAAAGACCATCTGTTTCCCACCCCTCTCACACTCCTCTTTTTTGCCCACGTGCTCCCCAAGAGAAACACGTGCTGGGCAGCAGAATTTCCTATTTGTGGAAGTACAAGAGAATCTATAGAGTTCTTGGAGAGAGTTGCAGAAAGCATGTTTCTAATGGTGCCTATCTTCAACCACTTCTAATCTGCTTTAAAGTGATAGGTACAACATTACCTATTTCAGACCTTGAACTTCCTATTCCTCTGAGAAAAGTAAGCAAAATGTTTCTACTACCCACAGTATATTTGTCTCTCTCACATATAGTCATTTATCTCTTGCCCATTGATCCTTTCTTGTTTCTATAACCTCACATGTTGATCCAAGATCAATTCCAGGTCAGAGATCTTTGTGTATTTGATGCAAAGAAACTAGATATAATAGTGAGATAAGAGAGAATGATTGAAGGAATAAGAGAGAAAGAAGAGGGAAGAGAAGAGAAATTCAAAGAACTGATAGTGGGGTTCTATATAGTCCCCCACATATTTTATACCTTATGATGAAGGTAAAATTACATCTATGCCCCTCATAAGGTGGCAGAAAAGATAAGAATGAATTAAAGGCCCAATAACTATGAAACAAAGGAAAGAAAGTTCAAGCCCACAAACCCAACATAGCTCACTCCTTTCTACTCTTCCCCTCAAGTTGAGCATACATGTCAACCATACCTACTTTGCCAAGTGTTTACTGTAATGCTGCATTTGAGACTCCTTTTGTAAATATGACTGCCAACAGTTGGTCAGTCTTCACTAAAGGAATGCATACATCGAGAACAACTCTTTCTCATATGAAGTGTCAGTCACGTCAATGTGCATGGTTATATCATGCTGCATTGGTATTTTTATTACTGCTTATTATCACAATTTAATAACAATGACATTTAGGTACCTATACCCAACTCTTCCAACAAGGAGCTGAACCATAGGGCCTTATTACCATGTTCCATTGCATGATACTCAACCTCAACATTAGAACTTGAACCACATTTTGTTTCTTACTTTTCCAGGGCACCATATTCCCTCCAACAATGCAATACCCTAAGGTAGACCTCCTATCATCTAGAGAATCAGTCCAATATAAATCAGTATGGACCTCCACATTTTGTAAAGGATCACATCACTAGGACACCCTTTCAAATAAGCAAGGATCCTATCAACTACATCCATATGAGATGCACGAGGAGCATGCGTACACCAATTCACCACACTTACTGTATAAGAGATATCAGGATGAGTCATGCAAAGATAGAGTACTCTCCCCACAAGTCTCTAATATAAGGCAAATTCCTCCAAAGGCTCTCCTTAGTAGCATAAATATTATGGCAAGGATCAATACGAGTGTTGCAGGCTTCACCCTAGCTTCCCATTGACTCTGTTAGAATACACGAATCAGGGGTATTTTGGTCATTTTGGTTTATCTGTTTGAGAGTGAAAGGTCTATTTTATTTAAGTTTAAGTTATGTGTCCCATCTTTCATGAGGGACAATATGGTCTTTCTTGTAACTCTATTATTTGAAATARATACAAGTGGGTCGGCTAGGGAGGACTGATTTTTCTTCTTCCTAATCTGGCCGAACCCTTCTTCTCTTCTTCTTCTTCTTCTTCTTCTTCTTCTTCTTCTTCTTTCTTCTCTTCTTCTCTACTTTAACCTAGAATCAAATAGGGTTTTCTTACAGACTCTAAGTAAATCTAATACATACTTCACCCCTAGCTTCCCTATGACTCTAAGTAAATCTAATACATACTTCCTTTGTGAGATAAGATATAACTGTCATGCTTTAATGCGACTCTAAGTCTCTAATACAATACATTTTATATCACTGCTTGTTACTACTATATCACCAACATTTACAAAAAGGATGGTATTCAGTTGACCATTCTTTTATATTAACATAATATGATCAGACTGGGACTGCTCAAAGCGAATTCTTTGTAATGCTCTCTTGAATCTATCAAATCAAGCACGTGGTGATTGCCTTAAACCATATAAAACCTTTTGAAGTTTCCAAACCTTACTTCCTTTATCCTTTGTGTAAAAGCTTGGAGGTAACATCATATACACCTCTTCATTAAGATCCTCATTGAGAAAAGCATTCTTTACATCAAGTTGCAAGAGTGTCCAATCAACATGGACAGAGGGCACCTCTGGAATTGGAGAGAAAGTCTCTTCATACCTTACCCCAGAAGACCCATAAGTTTGAATATATCCTTTTGATCCTAATCTGGTCTTGTATCTTCCACTACTTCCATCTGATATACTTCACCATGAACACCCACTTATAATCAATTGGATTCTTTCCCATGTATAATTCAACTATTTCCCATATCTCATTCCTAGAAAAGTATCGATTTCAGCTTGCATGACTTCCTTCCACTCAGGTATTTTCATGGTCTCATTTACTGACCTAGGAATATGAATAAAGGAAATAGAAGCCAAAAAATCAAATGTATCAAGGAGACAAACAATAATAAGAAAGGTAAGAAGACGAATTGAGTAGTAGACAAAGATGATGTATGTATTTTCCTTTTCATAAGAGCTATTAGGAGGTCAAGGTCAGAGCAATAACAACAATAGATGTAGGAGTAGTAATACCTAGGCCATCAGTAATGGAATCAACCTGAGAAGGCTGTGATGTGGTTGGAGTGTGAACAGGACCTTCATTCTCAGAGGTGACCTGAATTGATTGTGATGTGATGCGAGCAAACACACCCCTCCTTTTCCTATTGTACATCTGGAACTACTACTCTAGACCTCAAGAATAGTAGGAAGAGGTATATCAAGACTCTTAAGACCACTCTCATCCCTCTTCCCCTGGGAATAATGAGTAGACTCAAAGAAGGATACAACCATAGGCACATACCTTTTCTTATCATGACAATAACCTTTTGTTTGTGCATATTCCAAGAAAATACATTAATGACCTTAGCTTCAAATTTCAACCTGAGGAGGACCAAGAATCTAAACAAAACACGTGCAATCAAAAACAGGTAAAGGCAAACCACCAAAAACAACATCACTGGGATATAAGAGACTGAATGGAGTTTTAAAACACAGAACCTGTGATGGAACCCTATTTATGAAATACAGGGATTTGCGGATGGCATCCCCACAATAATGAATAGGAACAAGGGAAAAGCCAGCAGTTTGTGCTAAATCTACTTAAATACTAAAACTAGGGGTAAGATCAATATATATTCCTTTTGAACCTAATGACAGGGTGAATGCAACAGAGGGGGAGCATATTACCAATGTGGTGAAGTGATGACTAGTCATTTAGGCCTCTCTAGTTGATTCTATGAACCTATGACTAGTCAGTGCTAGGCACTAGCTAGTTGATAACAAACGATACATTCTAAATTTAATATATTGATGCAATCTCATAGATGTCAATAAAAACTACAATTATGCAAGGAAAGAATATATCAAACATTTATTTTAGCCTTGTCCTGTAAACAAAGAAAAGCCTTCAAAAGAATCTTGTTAGAAGTGGATTATTCAACATGATAGAACTAGGCATATTGAAGTGGATTGCCATTTCATTAGGGAGAGAATTTTGTTAGAAGAAACATCTCTTCTTTTCTGAAGACAAACTAGTAGTTGGTCAATGCATTCACAAAGAAAACCACAAAGCTTGAGCTAATGGCTATGAGATATGCATGATTAACATCTATGCTCAGCTTAAAGGGGCGTGTTGTAATATGTGCCTGTTAGTTATCTTATATAGCTTGTTTCTGTTGAGTTTATTGTTTTTTTTTTTGTTTCTCTACTGGTTGGGCTTGTATTTCTTGAAGGGCTGATTGTGTTGATGGGCCTTTGAGGCCTCTTTTAGTTATTCTTTTGATCAATAGGCCTCTTTTAGTTATTATTTGTTGCTGCAGTTTAACTAGGGGCAGTTTTGTAATTTTCTCAACATGCAGATCATTTTGTTTAAAAGATAATGGAACTACAGTTCAGCTCCGCGATTTGCTCTTTTCTCCCCACATTCTCTTCTTTCCACACTTGTTCTACTTCTCTTCTCATCTGTTTTCTTCTTCAATTTTCTGCATTTATTTAATCAAATTAGTTAAAGTTTTGTTGATGAATTAATTAGTACTATTCGACAAGTAAGTATATGGTGAAATGACATGTAATGATTTTGAGCACTCACATATTACAACATAGGCACTGACTCCCTTAATCATTAACATCACATTTCATCAAAATGGCATGTATTTGTTATGTATCAAACACGTGAATATATATATGAGGCATATGAAGCTTTATAAGCCATTACACAATGTTGGTCCTAGCTATCTGGGGTCTTGGGAACAGTAGACTGAGCACAATCCTAACCTTTGGCATATGCAATTGTATATTTATATAAAAACATGCAAATGCCCAAGCTTGGGCTTACTGAACACTAAGTAAATAGATAGAAAAACATCCATTCATATATACATACATAATGTAAACAATCATAAATTGAATACGTTTAATAAGAGTACCTCAATCAAGATAGATTTCATAGCATCCTTCACAGCTTTATATTTGGATGATTCAATTGCAGCCAATGAAGCAGCTTCTTGAGCATTTTTTTGTGATTTTTCAACTTCCATGTCCTGGACTTCACACTTCTGTTTCAAGTTTTTCACCTAGCAATCGCATAAGATGACACATACTACTTAGTACCATTGGTAGTTTACAGATTAAGCATTATAAACCCTTGGATCAACAAGAAATGCAACCAAAAAATGTTAGGATATTCAATTCTGAGAGGGAAAAGGAAAACATACTTGGCTTCGCAATTTCATAATATCTTGATTTAAAAGTTCATTCCTTTTTATAAGGCTTTCAACAGTACTATTTGGAAATACAGTTCCCATGCGCGTAGGGCTTGGCTTCCTCGAATATGGTGAACTAGGTCTCAATGTCTGTACAGGCTGAGGTACCGACATAACAACTGGTTTAGCACATTGAGGTGCAGTCAGTGAACTTTGAAAAGCAATATCTTTGAGTTGTAAGACTGCTGGAGCTTGGGAAGGTCGGAAAGAGACTGGAAAATCAGATATCATTGCTTGCATGGCTAACCTAACATCAAGGTACTTCATTGGATCTATCCCAGGAGAAAGCAGCATCCTTGAGGACCTAATGCCTCCCCTTTCTAACCTTTCCCTGCTGTCTGTTGAACGCCTAGGTGCCATACTTCTCCTATTAAAAGTAGTGGTAACACTAACCTCTGATGCTTTTAGCTTTGCATAGCAAGAATCACATACACGATGGGGCTTGCTTGGAGTTGGAGCTAATGCAGCTCTCAATGCTTTCTTTGAACTGCAAGCATGACAATGAACCAGTCCACAGTTATAACAGTTGTGCCTTTTTCGAGTAAAACCAAATGCTTGCCGGCAACCAGAGCAGACTGATTGGTCTGCACCAGATACCCACTTATGAATGCATATACTCGCTGTGAAGTTTGAACCACATGATATACTTCTTACATGTCTATCTTTTAGTGCTTCAACTAGAGTTGGAGCTCTGCGGTCTTCTGTATCCCCATGTCCCAATCTTCCATTTGCACCTCTACCCCAGGTGAACACTTCACTTCTTGATGTCAAGACAGCAACATGAAATGAACCACATGAAATCTCTTCAACAAACTCACTTATCAATCTATCTTGCACTAAGCAAGGTATCCTACCATCAGACTGTGGATTTCCCAGCTGACCATATGCAGTACTTCCCATTGTAAAAACATGCCCTGATGTTGTGAGGCCAACAGTAATATTATGCCCACAGGCCAGCTGGTGAAAGTTGTAGTCTACAAGTGCTGGTACACAGGTGGGATCCAGCTTTGCTTCTGTGTCCCCATGACCCAAACGGTATTTACCACCATCACCCCAAGTGAACAACTTTCGAGAGGAAATATTTGCACCAGGTTGCCCCATAACTTCTACAATTGCAGCTGTATGCCATACACCACATGCAACTTTAATAGTCTTCAATCCACTCAAACTCTGAACTTCCCTCGGGTATGCAATAGTTTCTCGATTTCCATGGCCCAAAACACCAAATGTTCCATCACCAAATGTGAACAACCTACCAGTAGAAGTTGCCAATGCTGAATGCCATGTGCCACATGCAACAGATAAAACTTGAAGGCCTTCTAAAGGACCAGAAACTCTTTTTGGTATCCAGTGGCTAACATCGGTACCATGACCAAGAAGTCCAGCATTATGGGTACCATCCCCCCAAGTAAATAGATCACCAGAAGTAGTTACAGCACATGTATGATATTCACCACATGCAACATTATCCACATTATGGACTGCCAGGAACTCAACAAGTTGAGGACAACCGTAATCTTTATCTGCTCCATGGCCAAGCCGACCACCAGACTCCTCTCCCCAAGTGAAAATCTCACCGTGCCTTGTAACAAGAGCTGCATGTCTAACACCACAAGAAATCTGGTTAACATCTAAAACAACATTAGATTCTAAAGACCTGGGAAGCAGCACATCAATTTTTGAAGGAAAAGGATTCACAGGTCCATCAGCTGAAGTCCCGTCAGACCAAACTTCTCCCCAAACATAAACATCACCCAACGATTCAATGTCATCTAGTCCTGAACCTTGACTTGAACAGCTAGGTGCAGCACTTGAAACACTAAGTCTGAAACCATCTCCTGCACTTGTTCTTAGTTGCATATTTGCACGGTCTGACCCTACATCTGAGCTTCTCAAACTCAAGGAATATTCACGAGAATAGAAGTCAATGGCCTTTCGGGAGAAACTTGAGGTTATCTCCCATGTTGCACTAGAAGGACGACCATTTTGAATAAAGTCCCCACCATCACGAAGCTGAAATAGGTAGAAATAGCCTTGCACTTTTACAATGAAATACCAAGACAGGTAGAAATAATTTTGATAATAAAGCATCGCATAAAGATAAATTCTCACCATTAATACTTGAATTAGATATAAGTTTAATTAATTACTCCTAGCAAAATTCCATCCTTAAATAAGAAGAGGGAATGAAAGGATTTATTAGATAGCCATAAACTAACTCAAATGTTGTTGGAAATATGATTTCCATGTGCTCATTTAAAGCAATATTGTATCTTTGTAATGATTTATTTATTAATAAAAGTGAGACTTTTAGATGACCTAGGTTGCGTAGTCCATAAGTAACATTGTAGGGCATTCAAGTGACGAGTGAGAGTTATTATAGGAGATCTAGATGACCCAGGTTCTTGTGGCCTAGAACATCCCGACTAAGGTTGGCATGTGGATAGTTTCTATAGTAACATTGTAGTGCTGATATCTCAATTATTGAGGTGAGATTCTAGTTTTCCATGTGAATGTGTATTGGATGCACACTAACATTGATCCAGCTGAGATTAATCTATCACAGGATTTTATTTGTTGCTGTCAATAATATGGATCACTCAGATGTAAAGACTTTTTTGCCCTTGGACCTAAGTAGTTTTTGGGACTATAGCATCATGATCGATCATTTTGATATATTATGGGTGAGGTTACTATTGGATTGTGGTTGATATACTATGTAGGGCGACTGAAAGTGATATCATAGTTTTGGGAGTCTAATAAGGGATCTACACCAAGTAATTAATTGGGACTACATTCCTGTAGTGGAGTCCCTAAGAGAGTAGGGCTCTTGTATAAGTTTTATGGTAACAACATGATGAGTACGGGAACTTTTAGTTGAATTGGGACTCCTGGGAAAACCCTAGTCATATTTGAACTCCAGTATTCCAATCCCAAATGACTCTAGAATGACTATAGGAAGAGTCTCTGTGGTATTAGGACTTGCAGGAAAATTTCCTAGGGCTTATCCTACAATATCATTGGGAATTCTTGTTATACCCAGGTTATCATATGCTAGTGTTTGCTCTGGAAGTGTTTCTAAGCAAGTAGGTGATCTTTAGGCAACTTCCAAGTCTAAATGGAACACAACTCCCAAAATATCTTTGCTTTCTTTATTCCCTAAAGGACTGGCTAGCTTTAGAAAATTTCTTTGGGGGAACAAGGAGAAGATATGGTAGAAAAAGTAGAAGAGGTAGAAGATGATACCAATTGCCAATTTTTGTCTTCATCCATGGATATAGAAGAATCACCTTTACCAGAACAATCACCCTTAGTAGAAGTGATGACAGAAGATTGGCCCTTTGTTATCTAATATGCACGTGGCTGATCTTCTTGTGAGCACTCTTAAGTGTTTGGATGGAACAGTTTGGAACAATGTGACCGTTCTGTTTGCAGTATGTACAAACATTCTTCTTCTTGCAATGGGATGCAATATGGCTGAACCCTTTAGACCCATAGCAATAAGTTTTGGAGAAATCCTTTGCAGCTCGTTTCTTATTTCCATGTGCCATAAAAGCAGTGTCAATTCCAAAATCTACTACTTTTCCATCAAGTCCAGCGGTAGTCAAGAGTCTAGTCTCTTCCCTAAGAAGTTCCCCTATCACTGAATCCAAGTCTAGAAGAGTTCCTTTGCTCATAGACCTGTTCATGGGCTGGGCTGGGCTTTCACGCATTATCAATACTATATATTCAGGCCTAAGCCCAACCATCGGGCCTAGATCTTGACTCCGAGACCGGCCCTCATAAAAGCCCAAAGCCCAATCTGTAAATCGGATTTTTTGGGTTGATACTTTGATGGGGTTTCTCTGTAGTCTGTAACAAATAAAACTCTTGGCAAATGTACAGTTTGGGAAGAAAACATTTACAGTGGCAGTGGTGTTCTTACTAATAAGACTATTAAGCAGCCTTGTTAATAATCCAGAATTAAATTGGGGTTTAACTAGGAATACTGCAGAGTTGTAGATTTGCAATCTGCAGTCCAGAATACATGGTGGTGGTGTTCTTACTTGCAGTCTGCAGTCCAGGATTGTAATATACATTGCAGACTTGCAGTCTAGATTCCAGAATATACATTCCAGGAAGGATCAAAGAAGTGGAGAAAGAGAGAGAGACCTGATGGAGCTGTCACTGGTTGCTGCTGGCCGCGGTTGGGGGCACTGCTTGAAAGAATGGTAGGATCCATCTAATGGACGCCAATAAGGTTGCGGAATGGGTGGGCGAATTTCAAAAATTTTCCTACCTTCTTCCAACTGGGAATCATATTCCCTAAATTTAGAATACTATATTCAAGGATTCTACTTGAACCATAATYGAAACAGATCTGAACCAAAAGCAAAAGGGAGGAATATACCTGATCCGGAGAAGCAGTATCTCCCAATGTTGGTGTTCACGCCCAAAGAAGAAACCAAGATCCGCTCCTGTCGAAGATGACACAGCTATGGATGGAACGGAACCAGCAGGGTGCGTCCTACACACTGGATCCTTCGCAAGAATCCTCTAGAAAATCTGAACACCGAATCTTTTTCAGTCTTTCCTACAAGACTGATGTCAAGAACTGATTTCTTGACTTCCTATTACTGCAAAGATCCAATCTTGCAAGAGGGAATGGCGGCGGCTGGAGGAGAACTCTTGGGACGAAGATGGCTGAACTAGCTTCTCTTCTCTCTGGAGTTTTGATATGAGATCTAATCTCAATTCGCAGGAGGTATTCCTTGTCTACAAAACCCTGGTTCAAAATCTGATATGATTTCTCTTCTGTTTCTCTTTCTTTCTTCTTGATTAAGAAACCTCCTAATTAGGAGTTATCCCAATCCAAATCAGTATTTGGATAGGGGATAATCTTAATCCTATCTACAGATTAAATTAGCTTACTCCTGATCTTATCAGGCGGTTACCAGATTCAAATCTAATTTGAATTTGGTCTCCTGGAGTGGATAAGGCTAGAGGCCCAATCCTTTTACTAACATTAATCTCAGATTCGTCCCATAGATGGGTGATCATATCAGCCCAGCTCGAAATGGGCTTTTGGCCCATTAAGCCCAGTTGGGCTTCTTTGTATGGCGTGGGACCCAAGCATTGATTTACACACCAGCTAAATGGGTTCGGCCCAGTCTTTATTACAAGGCCCAGCCAAATTCACTGAAAAACTCAATAAACCCCTGAGCCCATCATATGGACCCTATGGGCCCAACACTTACATTAAGTGGT